AGTCGGGGAGTGCAAGCGCGGGAGAGGGGAGAGGGGAGAGGGGAGCGGGGTGGCAGGATCGGGTGTCTGTACCGTTGGATTTGATGTCTTTCAAGAGGGAATCTTTTGGCGACGCGTGTCACAGGATCAGGTGTCTGTACCGTTGGATTTGACGTCTTCCAAGAGGGAATCTTTTGGCGACGCGTGTCATTAATTCCACCCCCGATCCTTTGGTCCGATGACGGAATTCTCGACGCGACCGCGTCGCCTATTACTCGCCGATCCGGACGATTCGGCGACTCCGCGCTTCCTTCTGCGAACTCCCCCTTCGTGTTTATCTCTTTTTACAACACTGCCACTGACGTCTTCCCAGCGTGCAAAACTGTGGCTTTTGCCTACGATTTTTTTCCGAGTTTCCATGAATAATATATATAAGTCAGACAAAATCAAGCATGCATGCAATAGAGATTACTAAACAATCGACAGAAGCAGCATGCAATCGATTTCTTCCGGCTTCGGCGAAGACTGTTGCTTTGGAAATGTTGGGAAGCTGCTGCTGATGCGACCTGTTCGCTCCAAGATTCTCGCCGATGAAGATGACAACAAAACGCAGCACTGGATTCTAATCCCGTGAGCTGCATGCATCATGAAGGCGGCCAACCACAGCTTGCCGTGTTGCGCTAAACGGACAAGATGAAACAGGAGGACATCAAAGAAATCGACTGATGGAATCAATCCATCCATTTATCGAGCTGTTGTCGTCTTCCACCGATGCCTAATGCCTCGGAACGAGTTCAAGCTCATTCCAGGGTTTGATGTTGTTGCGGACGAGCCTCTGCTCGCTTTGTTGACCGGACCGGTGGGAGAAGTGCGGCGATTAATGGAGGAGGGGATCGGCGACGAATCGATTCCGAAGGAGACAGATTTGGTGGATCCCGCGGCGGGGGCGGAAGACGACAGCCCATCTCCGATGCCGCAGCGTCAACGCGCACCGCCCCCGCGGTCGTCCCCGCTAACGTTGCGCCCGTCGGTGGACCACACCCCGGTCATTATCTATCCACAAATTGCCGTGGTGGGTTCGGTTTGACAGCTACGAGACGAATGCGTCAGGCGCAGTCGAGCCACGTGGGAAAGACGCCATGCGTCGGCGCCACGGCCCGCGCGTCGCGCCATGAGTGGAAGAAGGCCCAGCCACGCGGGAATCCCCCGTTCTCGTCGGGCCCCTCCCCGGGAATCTCTGTCGCTCAGTTGCGTTGCTCCGCCGGCACCCCATAATTCCGATAATTTCTTGGATAATTTAATCCAATCGAATCCAAAGAAAAAAGAACACAAATAGAGTCGAGATTCATCAGAGCTCCACGTCAATTTACAGAGAACAAGTCGATCGTGAAACAACGACAGCAGAACAATCTGTCCTCTTCCGATCGATGACTCGAGTAGAACAAGACTTCTGAGGTCATGCTTATCCGAAAGGATTTGTCCCTTAAATTAAGAAGACTTCGGCTGCTGTGCTTCGGACATAGCGTCGAATTAAGATCACATGAATTCATTGGTTGTCGTAGAATAAATCGGGAAAGATTCATTCGTGTACCAACAAATGATGATGCATTTTCTTCCTCGGGTCAGGAGTCAAAAACCAAAAGGGTTCCTTCACATCACAGTGGAGTTTAGTCTATCTTATCTTTCACATAATTTTTCGGTGTTAAAGAACCCCGCACCGGTAGGTGGGTTGGATGCGTTTGCATGAGCGTCATCTGCCGTCATGCCCAAGAACAGGAGTTAGGATGGTCTTTGGATCCAAGATGGTTTGTCGAGGAGAGAAAAAAGTCAACCAGGATCATGTGGTCCTTCACTAGCTCAAATGGCTGGGCCAGTTGTCTCGCCATCCGTGATCGATGAAGCTGTTCACCTGCCTTTGACCAGTATATGAAATGCAAATCTTAGGAACATCGACTCGTGGACACAGAAATGGAAATCTTAAACGTACATGCACGCTGTGTCGGGTCAACCCAGTGGTAGGTTTTCTGCATGCAGCAGCAGCAGCAGCTCATATGAACACCCATTCTCATCTCCTGGTGCGGCGGCGCAAGCGTGGGCGATCTGATCATTGGGATCGATGTCGGCAGTGACTTCCTCCATCAGCAACTCGAACACGTAGTACATGAAGCGGTTGATTTGTTTAGGGGTGGGGGTGGGGGTGGGGAGAGGGAGATGAGCTGTTCATGTGCGGAGGCCGGTGGGGTGTCGTCCCAAGAACACGGATTCCGGCAGGTTCAGGGAAGGAGCACATTCCGGCCTCGATGCACTCCACGGCCTGCACGCCAACACCGGGGACATGCACACGTGAACGCACTCATCACACCCCCGTCTCGGTGGCTGTGAATGAGTGCGGCCAAGCTCGTCAAGCGTCCATTGCGTTGGCTGTCTCTCCACTCAGTCTGTCTCGTTGGGGATTGAGATCATCGATGTGCCGATGGCTTCTTTCTTTCCATCTTTTCTTCTCTCTTTTAGAAGAAGATAATGGCAACGCTAACTAAATATATGTCAATACATTTTTCTCGTCTCATTGTCTCTTTCGATTAAGCTTTTCTAAGGATAAATCTCATAAAAGAGTCGACTGGCATTTGGGTTGGTGTTGGTATCAGTCGATCGACAGTCAATCACTGTAGCTGATGTTAGTCATCAACTCCCATTGCATTAAAGGAGAAAAGGGAAGCGCGCCACGCCACTCCACTCCACTCCGAAGCAAGCTTTTTCATGTGCATCTCATGAACAGAAGCTAAGCTGCTGTGTGTACTTTCTGCAAGAAGCTCACACCGGAATCATTGGTGATCATGGTCTGTTGCCACCAAGTGGCTTTCATCTGATTCAGCGCCCGCACGCACACACACATACAAGCTTTTGCAAGAAGTAAATGCGAGATCTGTCATATGCGGTGATGATTAATTGTCTTCAGGCAACAACACCATTCATTGCCTCAGGCTGTCTGACAAGATTGGGCAGGCAACCACCATGTCATGCAACAGAGCTCAAATGATCTTCAAGTTGCCTTCTTTTCCACCATCCACAGCATCTTTGCCTTTTTCCTCACCGGCAACAATATGTACGTATGTATTGAAGAATTTGGTGTTACATTGAGTAGCTAACAGAGAAATATATGTTGGCACAGAAGCTCATCAGTTTCAAGAACACACTTCCATGTGCTAAACTTCAATCTTTAATTAGCTCAAGAAATCCCAACAGCTAAACCTCATATTGGTTACAGGGGGCAGGGCAGGCCACAGCAGCCCACATTGACTGGGGTTTTCTCCATGCAGTCTTGACTTTGTGATCACCACACATAGTTAATCCCCAGAAAACAGTGGCCCCAAACTAGCTTATTAATTGTGATCTTTAAGATGGCCAGTGTGTAAGAGGGGGGGGCGCAACGAGAACAAGTAGAGTAGAGAAGACATGGTCCCAAAGCCATCACTTGGGATTGAAGACGATTTGATCTTGGGTTTGCCGAGTTTAGCTCGACAAGCCCAATGAATTGGAACCATTTGTTTGTGTGATTGATTACTCGAGACATGAGACAAACTTTAGGTGCAGGTAAACGGTAGCATAGGCTTTGGAGCTGACCACATACAAGCTTGGGTGGGGAGGGAACACAATTTTGGATGTTGGTGAGATAAATTATTAACAGTTTTTGTTAGCCATAATACTGTGTAATATGCAGGATAGAAAAGATTACAAGACACAGAGGGCAGAGAGTAAATTCTACTTAGCAAGCAAAGTTTACCTGCTTAAAGATATCCCCTAGTGTTTCGGAGACACCACTGACAGGTTTACAACTAGGCCTTGATGCATACCAGTAGCACTTCATGAACATTGAAACGGAGAACATTGTAGGAAGAATAAATGAGAAGTGGCCGCAGAACATGTTCCTTTGACAAACACAAGGATAATGTTGGCCAAAAGTTATGGCTCCTTTCTTCCTGAATGCTCAAGAAATTGTGACCAAGTCTGTAGAATTGCTGTTATGATGATATCATCTCAGAGATGCCATCTTTCTGGAAAAGTCATTGCGATAAAATTTCTGATTCAGATCAACAAAGCAGAGATTGCTAGGACCAAATACATGCAGCACTTCTGCAAACACTAGTATATCATAACCAATACCCTTTATTTGTCATTTCAGATGGTTCATAACAAGAATTATAGCCTTCAAAACATCATGGGAGGTGACTCGGGACGTTTAAAAATACCTTTGAACAAACTAAATTACAAAAAGAAAAAGAAAAGACCGAGTTGTGTACACGACAATGCCAAAGCAGAAAAGCCCATGGAATGCGTCTGATCATGCAGGGGTTCGTTGATATATGTACTTTGTTCTTGGGTCCACGATGAAGCCCTTACCCCCATTCACCTCGAGGTCATGCCTGCACAGATCAATTCATCAACTGATGCAATTTTCATTTATGAACTGAAAACTGGAAACCAAGGGAGTCTTCGGGCACTCACTGGAAGACGAAATCAGGGATGGTCAGCTGCTCACGAGGAACATATCTAAACAGTTGCAAGAGTCGATCTACATAAACAACTTTCTTCCATACCTAAGAAGCACACGATTATTGAAAAGATACCAAGTATAACGTGAACACAATAAGCTATCATATTTTACTAATAAAGAGAGGAGCTATGCATGCCAAGAAATACCTCTCCATCTACAAAGAGCTGCAAAGCAAAGACCGCTGTCCTCAACCCCAGTGTTGGATGCAAAACATATATAGCCTGCAACATTATGGAAATAGCATTATAAGAAGCCTGAACATGGTAACAACTCCAGTCAGCTGAAAATTTGAGTACTCGAGCTAAAAATAGATACATGTAAGTTACGCTTGTGCTTCCGACCGAGTATCTGTTGTAAGCGCTTCATCCAACCTAAATCTGGTTGCCTGTGTAGTAGCATCACACATGAGACCATTGAGAAGAAGAGGTGAAACTAGGCAAATAGCCAATGATTCAACTATCTGCAAGCTTGATGTAGGCACTAAGTGAAGTGAGCATATTGTGAACTAGCATGGGTGTAGGAAATCAACCAGGAGCTATTGTTGTTCATACAACTAGTAAGACACAACAGATGATATTTTCAGAGGCATTACTGTCATCAGTTTCTTTATGGAGCATGTGAGTATAATCTCTTGGGATTCAAACATCCTCAAGTGATACCATACTTACACTTGTAAGGAGGCAGCAGAGTGAATGTAGACAATGCTATAAGGCTTCTGAATCAAGGGTTCAAACTCCTGCAAGAAGAATATTGCTTTATTCCGAAAGGCATGATCACAGCAAAGAAAATCTTGCAAAGAACTCCATGTAAGCACAGACTGTGTTTAACCATGAGACTGAAAAACTACAAGAAGCCTAAATATGATATCTCGGCAGATGGCTGAACAATCTACCATGAGCTCTCTATGGTGATCATAATTTTTCTAATACTAAATTATTTACCCAAAATTACCAAAATATTGGAATAATTATATGAAAAATGTAACATATCAGTCACATAAGATGATTATGATGATAAAGGACTTATTTTAATTACTAATAATCACCCAGAAAATAATTTGCACATTCTTAAATTCATATGGTCATATTATATACATGAAAACAAACCCTGAAAAGCAACTTCTTTATAACTCAATACCTTTATAACATACAGGACAAAGCGTTCCAGATCAAGGCATCGCAAAAGGAAGTGAGCTCCTATAACAACCATCACAGGCCGCCCCTCACTGTCGACACCACCGCGGTAACTGAAATTCATACATAAAAGTAAGATCAACAATATGGAGAAGGCGTACATAATGAAAAAAAATCACATTCAATCACCAGATTAAGTTCATAAATATTCATTAAAAATGTCTAGAGAAGTGAACATAAACAACACATGAAGTATGCTATAGTCTGTGACTTTTAGATCTGTACTCCTATTTCTTCTGTTATCATTAGTGTCAATTACTCACTTCAAGTTATCTCCTCTATAGGTCCTTGGCCATGTTTTCCCAGTTTAACTTTTCTTTTCCAAAAATGCTAACACTTGTGTCTCTTATAGAGGAGTTGAAAAAGAGATGCAATCTGATGGATAGATGGCATCCCAAGTATGATCAGTTGTGTCAAATGTTATTAGATGTCCAAAAAGTAGTATCTAAAGAAAACCTTCAAAAAGTCAATGGATAAAAAAAGTGAAATTAACAAATAGAAGTGGCTTTCATTAAATTTTCCAAGAAGGTAGCACCTGGATTTAATCTCTGACATAAATCCTAGGCTAGTTTGTTCTGATATGTTCTGATGTTACCTGTCTCGAATAAATTTACCTTGGAATTAAACTTGGACCTACTTGAGATGATTCGCATCTAGTTGATAACTGGCTGAACTTTTGTCGAGCCTTCTCAGATTTTTGAATTATGATCTAAATCTTAAATAATTGCTGTTCCATCTCATGCATGATTTGCAACAGAAAAATATGATAGTCATACAAAAACAATAATAAATAACTGCTACAAAGGTGACTTTATAACCAGACACTCTTAAGATACAGCAGTGGCTACCAGCATCTATAATGGTTAATAGGCCAATTATTAAGAGCAACTGCTATGAAACACATTTTAAAGGGAGCCAAATATAAATTTATATTCTATCATCATGCGGAGATTCATATTCGTCAAATGGATAATCATTGTGGTACATATCGAGTAGTTCAATCTCATTTCTAGTCAAAGTTCGTAACATCATCAACATCTTTCTGGAACTAAAAAAAGGATTCCTCGGCCTTCTGAGCAAGGATACGATGTAAATTTACAGAGCAGATACATATTCCCTTAGACACACTCGATAGCAAAAATTTCCTTGGTCAGCAGAACTACAATTCGTCTAGTTGCCAGAATAACAGAACCAAGTGAGCACAATTATAAGAATCTCAAGAGAAAGCTCAGTAGATTTCTTGTTACTCTTGGTAGACAATATGTATTATCTTCTCACTAGTCACTGATCACTACTCGGAGTTTATCATTGGTGCAATGACATCATCCAAAGCCGTAAGCAAGCAACATGGACATATGTAAGAAAAAAGATCATTTGCAACATGACCAACAAATACAAAGAACACGCCAATCATTGAACAAGAGAAAATGCATTGGACCCATCATGGGCTTCTGAAAATAGGGTTTAGAATGGAAAGTTAATAAAGGACTCTTAGATAATCAACTTGCATAAAGCCACTCTTGAGATTTTTTTTCTAATGCTGTTATGTTTAGTAACAGAGTGGCTTGACAAGGAATAATTCAAACACTGATAAACAATATTTCTATCCATATGAAAATACTAAGTAAAAGAGCAACTAGAACATGAGGCAGAAGATCCACAGAATCTATTTGGTTCTTGCATAAAGCATTCCAACACTTGAAGTTGGTGCAAAGTCATAAATGCATCTGCAATTAACATAAGAACAATCTAACAGATCTCAGCTTTACACCTTTTTCTGAATGAAAAAACAAGTTATATATTGCTATATACCCATTAAGTTCTACATGGCATAGTCCAAAGAAACTAATAATGAGACGAACCTATTATTAGCAAGAGTTGAACTAATAATGAGAAGGCCCTTTTACTTGCATAATAAGTGGGTTCTATATGTATAAAAAAATACTTACACTATCTTCATTTCTGCAATATCTGAAAGATTAAGAGAATTAGCTTTTGCAAGATATCTGGAATGGAGTGAGTATTCTTCAGCAGCGGATAATGGAGGGCCACCAAGATCACCAAATCCAAGAAGCTTAGCACAGTTGAAACCACTTTGTGTTTGGGCAGCCTTTTCCTGTTGCTCTTTCCTTCTTTGGTCGGGATCTTTAATCAATGACATAAATGCAGGATCCAGGTATGACTCCAAGCTGAAAGAATTCTTGCTGAAAGAATACAGCTTAGTAAAAAAAAAGCAAAAACACCCTCATAATGTGTATAGTAAAATATTCCGCCCTTTTTTTTATTCCAGCAAACAGCAGTGTCTTGGAACTTTCAGAAAATGAAGCCCAACCACCTCAATCCTCCAGGTCCCAAACATGAAAAATAAAAGGACCACACAGATGCAGAAGAGGCTCCAAAAAATTGCTAAAGAAAAACCAAAAGTAAAAAAGAGAAAACTACAGAAAAGAAGATTAAAAAATGCTACAAGAAGAGGCCTCCTTTTATCTCCAGTTGCTTCCACCATCTTAAAGCAAAAAAAGGCTAAAAACTAGTGAAGCAAACTTATTCCTTTGTCACACATGTACACTAAGAAAAGGAAGAAACAAAGTGTGAAGCAACAACTAGTGAGCATTTTATTGAGGTAATCCATAATCCTGTATGTATCACAACCATCTGATGTTTTTAAAGTTCCATTACCATGCAAGTTAACCATGTCAATTGAGGATGTTCAGTAGAAGAATAAGATTCCATACTTGCTAAATCTCTAGCTTGTTAAAATATTCTACTGAAAAGAGTAGAATGAAAAAAAGCCTTTAAAGGTTATTAGTCGACAACCTGTGTGCGTTGCTACCATTTACAAAAATAGTGCCATAGGAGGCAGCCAAACGCATAGACTCTTTTCTTTATACACAACAAAAGGATGGAAGCGGATCAAGGAAGCATGTAGCAGATGAAGGATGTATGCAGACTTTACCATTAGCAGAACTGACTTAATGCATGAACTGTGAAACATAAAGCATTAGACATATTCAATGTATAACAGAAGCCAGTTGTGTTTTTCCTCATTATCTGGGCCCTCCATTGCTGACAAAGGTACAAAGGCCCCCTTGTCCATGCATGCATGTATATGTCACTCTAGGTTCAACTATAATGTTCTGATTTGGTTTCTAGGTCTATAAGGAACTTCAGTGATCTTCGCATCTGTTATCACAGATGTGAGGTACACTAATAAAGTCACTAAACATATGAATACATGGTTTTTAGCTTTAACTAACCGTCTCAATGTCAGTCCAACATCGGAGACTGGAAGATCCAACGAGGCTGTTGAAGGTTTTGGAGTAGATGCAGATACTGCAGGCAAAGGTTTTATTCTGATTTTCCTTTCATCAATAATTGTCTCACCATTCTCATCTCCGACATCAGCTGGAAGTTTTGAAACTGCAATCTCTTCTTCAAGCTTGTCTCTCGGAAAGTAAAGTGGAAGCAACCTTCATAGTGCATTGAAGTCAAAGAAAAGAACACAGAAAGATGAATTAATGTTACAACATGTAAGGAGGAACCTTGACTGCCCTTTACCATGTCTGCCATGAAAGTTAAATGAAAGAGTATGGATATGTCATCTGATGTTATCATACATATTATCCAAGTTCCCAGATCAATATGTTTATAACAAGCTTGTAGCTTTTAGAAGTAGGTACCTTTTGTATATTTCTGTGTCTGATGATGTGGTGGTACAGAAAACAACTGCAGTGATTTTGTCTTTCTGCTTCTCCAAAAACCGCCTAACAGTCCCTATACAACTCACAAAGATAAATAATTAGCATGAACAAATTGTTTACAAAGAAAGCACCATAACTGAAGCAACATAGAGCAATCGTTACCCCATGTGTATGCCTCATCACATATAAGAATATGAATGTAAAAGAAAAAAATATGAATATAAATGTCATGAACTGATTTCACCACAAGGACTTGTTTATGTTAATTGCTAAATAGGATATCCCACTGCCAAGGAGTGTGCATTACGCACTTATTGCAACATGTGCGGCCGGTTCACGAGGATAGTTTTTGGCCTCTGTATATATACAACCAGTGGCAATGCTGCATGAGGATGTTAAAGGATGTTTAGTTTGACATATTAAATGTACGCGAACACTGAAGAATATCTACAACATTCCACTTTAATACTTGCAATCTACAAAACCTACCTTTGCAATCCATTCTCAATTAGGAGCTCCAAACAAGAACGATAGCAGTGACTAAGAGCATTTTCTGCAGCTGTATGGTACTTGACAGCATACTTAGGGCCAACTGTATGAATAACCTTCCTGCAACATCACAGCAAATATGCTTTCCAGGTCAACACAATCACAAGTCCGTTGTACATAGGAAAATTTAGAACTGAAAATGCATACAAGCATCATGAGTTGCTTCATAATATATATATTCACCAAAGCTTAGATTAAAGAGATAATCAAATGTTCGACAAAAGCTATTACAAAAAACCTTTATAACTTTGTATTTACTCCAAAAATCTGACTCATAAAGCACAGAAATTGCCTGAGTGTTCTCTCTGACACTATTACCTTATAGTATAGTGAACTCTTATCTCATTACCTCAAGGGTAATCTGCCGCAGCTCAATCAGATGCCACACCAAATTTCATTATGAAATGAGTACAAGTCACCAACAAGTTGCATCCCATAAGGACACAAATACAAAGATGAAAGAAGCCAAGAATAGTGCATATTAATGGACTGGCTGGTGAATAACATGCCATTGTAGGAGCAGCACGGGAATCATGTGCATGTTGCAACCCATGTCACTGATAATGAGCAGAGAAGCACCCTTTATAGCAAGACATGGACTGTTTAGCATGCATGGGAGTGTGTTTTCTGATAGTAGAACGATGACATGAGTACACAAAAGCATAGAGAATTTTTGCGAAAAATTACATACTACCTTCCAATCTTAGAACAATACGTTATTGAAAAAAACAGCAACTATAACAATTTAAACATTAACCCTTCAATAGACTTATCACACTTAATGTTCCTTGTTGATATGTTTCTCCACATCCTGCTTTTTTTTGGGTTCTCATTTATCCAGGTTCATGCCAGAAGACAGTGGACATGATGTAACTAGACTGGATAAAAATAATTACAAATAATTAAATTGAAGCAGATGTAAGAGTGAAGCAACAGTGGTAGTCATGGAGAAGAGTGACTCAATTAACTGGAATGCTAGTCAATTAGATGTGTCCTTTATGTCAATTTGTCAAACAATAACCAAGGACATGTATACGAAAGAATGCTGTCTGTGTGTGCACAAGTGTGCTTGCGTGTATGCTTGTCTATGTGTGCATAGCAGGCCTCCAATTGGGGCATTGTCACTACAACTATGCAAAAATGCTCTCTTCTTTTCTCCAGAATTTCTCAGACCCAGAGTGCTTATTTACAAACCATAAAATACAACTATAGGTAAACGAAAAAGCATTGTTGCTATTAGACATGAAATATAAAGGCTTAGCACTTCATAGAAACACATATGGCACCATCTCATCAATTTCAGATGTGGGTCCAGGCATGTTAGGTTCAATAATTGATTCCTTACGTGTGAAATCCAGTATCCACAAGCATCAGTACATAGAGGAAGAGGTGCATAACTTTATAACATGTTCTTTCTTTACTGACAGTGTGTTAATCACAGTGAGCATTTTCTTAATCACTAGATAAGGAAATAAGTTCGGTGAAAATACCCAGTCAATTCTATCAGAATTTGTTGTTGTGAATTGTGATGATATAATTATGACATTGGAATGGCTTTGTCAGTGTATACATCGTAACACAAAATCACTCCTCCACATGAGCAACTTTTACACAAAGAAAATTACAACAATCAATAGATAACAGAAGTAGCCATGTTGATGCATGGACAATATTTTGGCAACACCATCTTCAAAAAGGAATTTATGAACCAAGAATTGATTCTACTTATCTTGTGATCTTAAATCTGCAGATTAAGGTATAACATAATATTGACTAGACAAGATAATATAATTGGAATAACATAGTTAATGATGAGCTTTTATTTCAGAAGCATGCATTCTCATGCTAGACAATGATAACACCAACCTAGCAGGGAGATCATATGCATTGGTAATTTTAGCCATCCCAGTTCGGCAACCGCCCTGCAAAAATCATACCAAGCTAATGACTATAAATTCAAGGAATAAAGGAACTGAATTTAAATGCAGCCAGTAGGATGACCCATGATTTTACCACATACCAATGACGCACATTCCTCTGCAAGACCTGGGCCAGCAGCAACATGCAAACCAGGGCTGCTATGTGCTTCATCCAAGCTCTACAAGGTAATTTAAACAACGTCAACCCTACATCCTCCAGAAAAGTTCATTAGCTATTCATGAATGTCATATAGTCCATACCCGGTCCATGAAGAAGAAAACACATAAAGATAGAAAGAAGGATCATCATCTAAAGCTAGAGAAATATTTCTAACACAGACCAAATTCTACTCTCACCTCATTAGTGGAATTAACGACTGCATCAACCTCCAAATTCCATGGGTTGCCACGCCAAAGATAAATCTTCGAATTGATTTCGTGATCCACAGGGAACCTCGATGTCACCCCGGAGTCAGCTCCAGAAGGCGACGTCAGAGGATCCGAGAAGTAGGAGAACGGCGACGAAGAATCCCCGCCGCCATAATACCTTTGGTCCGCATCGCTCCACCTCGGCACCTGATCGAGCGTCACCACCACATCTCCGCTATCCGACGCCATTCCGCCGCGCGTGGCGCTCGTGGCCACGCTCCGGTACATCTCCCACGACTCAAAACTCAATGTTTGTGCCTTGCCTCAACGAATTCCCTCAGATTTAGCCAAGAAAACCCTTAAAAGATCGGATTTGGTAGCCGTTTCGAGTCCCAACGCAAGGAATCCAAGGGCTAACTCCAGTTTTTCTAAAAAGATCACGAAAACGCATCAATCTCAAACCATTGACACGCCTCTCGCCGAAACCCTAAATTGAAAAGACAAGGAATAGAAAAGCATGAAAGAATCAGATGACAAGAAAAAACCCAGGAAACTCCAAGGCGCTACCTTGGGAGTCGATCGTATCTCCGATATGCACGAGAATCCGGAGAGTTCGCGTGATGACACCAGATCGGAGCTGCAACTACGCGAGGGATCGAAACGGAGACCAGCGTAAATAGTCTTTGGCTGGGGGAAGAGATGTTAGAGGCGGAACCGGGTGGCCCGGAGCGATAGATGGCGCGGCTTCGCAGGGCTGTGTGATCGATACTTTTGCCTACTCGTTTATTCGGAACGCCAAACTCTACCTGCTTACCGCTTGCAGCGAACGGTGGCGCACCACGTTAGCCCCACGTGAGCTTCGTTGTCGCCTCCAGTCACTGCGAAGGTATGGGAATGGGTCGCACGTGGTACTGTTTCCGAGCTAATGTGAGTCGACTTGTACAGCGTGGCAAAAAGATGTGGGACCCTGGAGAGTGGGTCATCTTAATCATTGGTCGCTAATAATTTTATGAACGCATGGTCGCATGAATAGGTCGATCGGTGAACAATACGTCATATATTTGCACGTTATATGTTGTTAGAAATTAAATTATTATAAAACTCTTTTTTTGGGGCATAAATAGATTATTTACTTGTTATTAATCATAATAAATAAATATTTCTATTTTTAGTTTATTCCTGCATAATATTTTTTTTTATTTTCTAAAAGATGATTACCTTTAGTTTTCACCTTTACCTCATCACTCTCGTTATATTGCCGAGATCGCATGAAGGAGTCAGGAGTCATGTTCTAGGTAAAGAAAGCTTTACATCCTCTTTAGTTTTCATGCTCTTTCTTTATGTTTTTTTTATCGTTTATCGTTTACTGAGGATAAATAAAAAGAAAAAAAATTCAAGCCTATTTTTAAGTGTCTTTTAGTCTCTGGTCTGTTAACATTACATTAATGAATCATGGATTCAAAATGTTTAAATCTAATTTCACAAAGAGTATTCATGATACTATTATAAATAAATTTAATTTAATTTCGATGGGAGAACAAATCAGAATATTACAATATTACTTGATATAGATCAATAGTCCATTTTAAGTCTCTTATTTCATGAATAAGACGATTAAATTAGATAGTCAAATAGTTGTAAATCTCATATTCTAATCAATGTTTGAGCATCTGGTAGACTGTTTTATGTAATAAAATTTTTCTCATAGTTTTATTTGAAAATATTAAACGGATAAATGTGTTGATTATTCTCCACTATTACAACATCAATTGAGCAGAGAGAGAGAGAGAGAGAGAGAGAGAGTCTTCACTTCCCCTCGTGTCCTTCGATCACCGCAGGTAGGAAGAAAGAACAACTCCCTTCGGATTTCGCACAAAAGTCAACGTTACGCAGCAACGTTCCCGATTTGACTTGGGACGCGGTTTAGACCAACGTAAGGATGAAGTTACTTTGACTGATTGATTAAGTCGTCAAGAACGGACGGGCTTAGCTCCTTTGGTGCAGCCACCTCTGGTTTCTATGTGCTCAGTTCGTCTTCGTCGTCCCTCTCCCACCATCTCTGACTGTTGACGGGGTTGGAGAAACCAGTTGATATATACATCCATCAGCTCTTGAAGCCCACAACCAGCAGATCTCTTCCCTGTTTGCTCTTCCGCTTTGCTAGTAGAAGAAAAAGAAAGGAAGAGAAGGAGAAGGAGAAGGAAAAGATCCATGAATTGGATCAGCCGAAAGCTGCATCTGTACAATGTGACGATGGGCCTCTACATGCTGGATCGGTGGGAGCGATTTCTCTTCAGTATCCTTTTTCTTGTTCTTCAAGAACATCATCTGTTGCTGCTGCTGCTTCTTCTTCTCGATATACATAATGAAGCTACAATATTGAGAGTATGTAAAGATTATTATTTTTTTAATCCTTTCTACGGTTGTGGGCATTCTTAACTCTTATAGACATGCTGATCCTCGTCTTCTTGTGGTTCGTCTGCTACAATGGCTCTCGATCTGCAACCGAGTTTTACGAAAGGTGATATTTCCATCTTTTTTTGTTTCTGTTAGGTTTCATTAAAGATTGTTCTTTTTAGAGTGCGTAGATCCAGTAATCGTTTCAAATTTATTCTGCCATATATTAATGATACAAAGATGTACTTAGTTTCTGCAGCAATTCGAAGCAGACCTTTTATTGTTTCTATAGTCGGTATCTCAGTCTCATTGGAGCCATTTTATTTGACTAGTTCATCCTTTATCTCCTAGCAAAAGTCAAGTACTTGCTACACTATGTGTAGTTCGATGGTGTTACCTTCATCTAGTGTTGTATCTGCTGATCGTGTGCATGGAGATTTCACGGAGGATAACCACTTGAAATATATCGTTTTCTTATTTCAGAAAAAGAAATTATAAGCTGAGTCTATATTCCACAATCTGTCTAATGTAGTACCATTGATTCCTTGTTTACTCGAGGAAATTATCGTCAGTAAGTTAGTGACAGCTTTAGATCTTTGAAGTGTATCTCACCAATGTCCTTCTTCTTCTTCTTCGCAGTCATCTCAAGTTTAAATCCTTGGCTGGTGGAGGCTTTCCTGTTGGAGGCAGCATAACATCCTAATTAATGTGTCGTGTATGATCAATGTAGATTTTGATATACTTTTGTACTTATGCACCACATCTGTAATAAACTCCAGAGCAGAATATAGTTTGGTAGAATTTGGACTTTGCTTCTGGTCTCTCTCTCTCTCTCTCTCTCTCTCTCTCTCTCTCTCTCT